TTATTTAGGATTTTGGCAGTTCATTCCACAGAAATGGTGTACAGTAAGAGAACGTATGCTGACCGTATGTTTTAGTCTTAGTAAACGGTATGGAGAGGAGAGAACGGGAGGAAGAGCGTAGAGAGCGAGTGGGTTGACGAATATTGAGCAGAAATGACATATAGGATGGTGCAAGACCATGAAGGATTTTATAAGTAGTAATGAGGATTTTTCAGTATGGGGTGATGTGTTCACAACGACGAGTGCATTGAATAAAAGAATGAATTGGATGCATAAGATATAAGAGAGATGAATGGAAGGATTTAGAGATGGTTTGGCTAGATCGATGAGTAAGGCAGTGCTTGTGTGTATATGAAAAACAGTGAGATACTAGCAAATGAGCGAGTTAAAAAAATTACAAAACAAATACACAGACAAAATGTTTTGACTTACTGCTCGTATGTCGGATTTACGACCATCCCATCATCCACACTGTCATAAAGATCATAGATATTTAAGGAATTTATGGTAGAATTCAGTTATATTCTCTAGTAAGCGTGTAAAATAAAAGGGACTCATACCTTGATCCATTTGTTCCACTCTTCGAGGCCTTTTTGGATCTGCGATATGATAAGAATAACAAACCATTAATTCATAAGCATGGGAATAAAAGGATACTTGAAATTTGATTCCTAGAGTATTTTTGTTTTGTTGAAAGGTTGTGCATGAGAAGACACATTAATATTTGGATACCACTCCAACGAAGAATCTTATTCTCAAGAGAACGACATGTGGTGTGAAATGGGAAAACATTACGTCCAAGGTAAAGAGGTCTCATGAAGCTCACCAAAACGTACTTAGTCGACTGAGACGATTCCGCGCGTGCTTTTGAGAAGTACACTAATGGGGAAWGGAGAACGGCCGAGGAACAAGGGAGTAGCTAAATGTGGATAAGCGAGGATGCTTTACCTATGGTAAGTGTTCACAAATTTGGAATTTTCTTATTTGTATTCACATTTTTTACGATTTGTTGGTGTCTTATTAAAGTAGTGTCTACTTTAATAAGTGTGCTTGAACTGAATCAAATACATGATTGTTTCATACCTGCAACGACAAAAAATGTCGATAATGACGAGAACAATAAGGATGAAAACGGCCAGCGGTATTACCATGACAACTATTCTCCAAGTCTCTTCACAAAAACAAGTTTTTTTTAGTGGATGGATATCGCCTTTGATGTACTGAGATTTGTTTTTAGTTGTGATTGGGTTGCATTGTACCGTTTCATTTGTTGTCGTTGGAAATGTTGTTGTTGCTTCTGTAGTGGTTGGTTGTTTGGTTGTCGTTGGTTGTGTTGTTATGTGTTCTGTTGTTGGTTTGATGGTGGTTGTTGAATGCGCAGTTGTTTTTGGCGGGGCGTTAGTAGGTGTTTTGAACATCGTATAATTTGCCCTGAATCCAGTGCTGTTGTTTTCTTCGTCTGATCGAAAAACGAACATCACATCACTAGTGGCTGTGATGGTGAAGGGTGGCTGTTGGCCAAAGAATGCTTGCCTATGTTTAAAAATCCTACTATTATTTTCGTATAGCTGTAAACAGTCTTTATCGTACTCGTACAAAGAGAAGTTCGTAAAGTGAACATGTAGGGTGTGATTATCAGGGACCATGATCCTCCACGAGCACAGCTGTCCATCCGGGTATTCACCAGGGAAGCCAGGGGACTGGAAAACACCTGTCGTGTTTGTCAGAGTGTAGTTGCAACCTAAAATTAAGCAATAAGCAATAAAGAAGTACATAATTAAGTAAATAAGCAATAAACAAAGCGAAAAGAATCAATGCAAACACTGGGAAATACTTTCAATAGATGGTTTGCACCATCATATGACGGCAGCCATATTAGATGTCAGGAACAATACAATCGTCTTACACGAGAAAAAAATTCAATATTCGAGAGCAAAGGTTTTTTTGTTCTGCCATCTAACCACAGGCAGTCCAAGCTGTATTATGGGCACCGACACGTGATGGTGCAAAGCCTCTATAGGCGTTGGAATGAATGTTCGATGGATCTTGATTAAATTTCTTGTTTGAACTGATTCTTCGTACTTACTTTTATAATAACAGTAATACATCTTTATTTCTTTCCCGCGATAGTAGGGTTTAAGATCACGGTGTGGTATTTTACCATAGTGGTAGTAATTATACGTGTAGTACTTGATCCATTCAGTTGTTGCTACCATCCATTTGACTTGTTGACAGTCACGTGACTCATAAGGCAGCAGATAAAATGGTTTGGTTATCGGTAACGAGATTGGGATCTTTTTGTCACCCCTCGTTTGACAGGCAAAGTACAAATATCGATTTGTATTTCTGTTTAAAAGGAAGCTATCGATGCATGTTTTACTAGCAGTCTTTCTACTGTATCCATCATATAAATAAATGCGTCCCCTCGACATGTTTGGGATCGAGAGCTTGCTGTATATACAGTATTCTCCTATGAAAAGGAAATAATATTCTATCGTTGTTCTTTTCTATATATAGTAGAGTATCTAATTTTCTTATATAACTGATCAAGTTTATGCCATTGCGTCACCTACAATACAAAACTTAACTGGTCAACCGGCCCATGACATCCTTGTCATTGCCATAGTGATATGATCGATCCCCCAGTCTCCCAGATCATTAATACCATACATCCCTAAAACTACTCATTTATAACTACTAACTGGTAATTCTATGGAAAAAAAAAGAAAAAAAAGAAAAAAAAGAAGAAAAAAAGAAAAAAAGAAAAAAAGAAAAAAAAAAAAGAAAAATCTCAGGAAAATGCATTTTCTCATTTGTCGAAGTCCCGCTGTGTTCTACAGACTCATTCGTGCAGGTTTAGCCTTTAAAAACAAATCAATTCACAAAATTCATCTTTGGTGTAAAAAATATAAATTTGAACAAATACCAATTTAGCTGTCAGCATAATGTTCTGTTATACTAAAATGAATATATACCTTTCGGCCAAGTTGGACGTTTGGACTGATGTGGTTGGACTGATGTGGTCGTTTTGCTGATGCAAAAATTAATCTTGACCTCTCTTGGTTTGACGAACCCATCCATGTGCAGGTCATTTGATTTGTCGTTGCTGGTACGTCTTTGTTCTGTTTCTTGAGACATCCATCCATATTCTCCCCATTCATTGTTTTTCCATTCTTCTGGACACCCTGTCTCAGGTTTGGGAAGACCGTAAATTCCTCCAGGCCACCTTAATGAAGCTGAATAGAAATTACACCATTCACATACTGATATTCATATACTGATTATATAGTAAACACCAGCAAAAAACCCTGTGATTTTCTGTATTATAATAGTTATAAATTATAAATATCGGTCGGTCTAAAATCATGTTACAAATAATATCTCTGTTTATTCATTTGATTTCATTTATTTATCACATTGAACTAGTTTACTGTGTGTTTTCAATCATCTTTCGTGAAGTAGTATATATATATATATACTAGGGGAAAAGGTTTGTGCATAGAAAACCTTTGTTGGATTAAATATTTGTATCACTTTTTTTTCATTTATTAGAGTATTAAGTTGATTCACAGCTGAGGCAATCAGTACGTCAAGTGAATACCTCATTAACATATTATCATACTACGCGCTCATTTTGTTTATGTGGGGGAACAGAATCGCCAAATCCAATAGAAAATTCAACAAAATTTGCTCCTAGCGTAACAGTTTAATCTAAAATGGCCGGGTTTTCAGATATAATATGCGTTAATATGTACTAACTGATTATTTTAAACTAATGTCGAAAAAGGGCAAAGGAATACAATTTATTGCACTCAATATTCAATCAACAAGTTAGGTAATGGTATCAAAACAAATGCCGGAACTGAACACCAAGAAAATATATTTAGGATATAGTCATGTCTGCCTCTAACAGGTTTCAACGGATGCCGAGTCCAAACACTAACCCAAATTTCTCTGAATTCGATATTTTCGTTTTAAGCGCTCATTGAATGCCCCAAGGTGAATTTTACATATGATTTAGCTTAACATTCGAAGGTATTATGGCTGGAATTTCAGATGAATCCGAACACCCGGTGCACATGAAAATCCGCTTTGCAAACTAAGGGTTAAATTTAAATATTTGAGAACCCGAAAAATGTAGTTTACAAAACGTTCCTGTTCGCTTATTAGAACGCGTTTCCCTATTTATATTTTAGCTTAAAATAACTATTAATCTTTCCTTTACCATATTCCAAAAACAGATCTTCTTTAGTTTGCTTCATTTTTATACGCAAGCGCCTTTCTCAGACCTACCATTTTCACCTCAGATTTATAGGCTGAATTGAGGGCACCGACGCGGCCAAAATCGATTTTCACGATTTTCTCAAAATTAAAGGGAAATTATTCAAAATGACTATCCGTAAATTTATTTAGGTGGTATTCCACATTTTTGGGCCAAATATGAACGGAATCGCGGATTTTTTTAACGTGGCCACCTGGACCCGGTTGTAAGAAGCCTGGATAGCGCTATCCAATGGATAAATCTTATCAAGTGGATAAATTTATTGGATAATTGCATCGACTTATCCACTGGATAAGGATTTATCCGCCGGATAGCGCCATCCAGGCTTCGTACAACCGGGCCCTGATGTTTAATTTTTACAGACATTGCCTCAAGTGTATTGTTAAAAAACATTTCCATTTTTCATACATTTTAAGATGTTTTTCGAGAAATGAAAAAAGTATCAACCCTGAATGAGAAAGTAGTTCTAGCAATTAACGTTTTATCGGCCTTATATATATATTTCTCTTTTCGAATGAAAGAGTATCATACTTACCAGTAATATCTCCTGGTTGGTGAAGAAGGAGAAGAACGA